GATACCAACTGAATGGGAAGTGGGCACTTGGGAAGGGAGAGACACCCTGCAGAAGAGCTGGGTAAGCTGTAAGAGTGGGCTAACAAGAACATTATGAAGTTCAGCAAGGACAAATGTAATGTCTGCACGTGGGAAAATAGAATCCAGGAGTGCAGCACAGACTGGGATTTTGCCTGCCTGGAGAGGCGGGGTCCCAGGGGACAGCAAGCTCAGCATGAGTGAATGTGTGCTGCTGTGGCAAGGAAAGCCAAGGGGATGCTGGGCTGCATCAACAAGGACATTGTCAACAGGGATAAAAAACCCTTCACCCCACTCTATTCAGTGCTTGTCGGGCCACACATGGAATACTGTGTTCAGTTGTGATCCCTGCTATGCAGAAAACTTGTGTACAGACTGGGGAAGGTACAGAGAAGTGCCACAATGATTATCAAAGACTGGGAAGCTTTCCATGGAAGGGAATTATAAGAAAACTGTGTTTCTTCATCCTTGGAGCTTAGGGGAGACCTTATCCATGTTTAAATACTGTTCCTGTATTTAAAAGGTGGCTACAAAGAAATCAGATACTCCATTTTTGCAAGGAGTCACATGGAAAACACAAAGGGTAATGGGTAAAAGTTATTCCTGGGGAAATTCTGACGGGATATGAGGAAAATATTTCACAATGAGAACAATCAGCTGTTGGAATAACCTCCTCAGGGAAGTGGTGGACCCAGTTAAGATTTCTCTGGATGGTGTGCTGGCCTATAATGTCTAGACTGTCCATCTGCAAAGAAAGTTTGTACCAGATGCTCCTTGAGGTCCTTTCCAACATGGTATTCTATAACTCCATGGTTCTATGAAAATCATTGTGTTAGCCAATCCAGTCAGTTCACAAGCAAGGCTCACTCTTGCAATATGAAGGATCAGAGTCTCACATACTCCAGCTATCAGAATTAGGGCTCTAAACCAGTCCATACTCAATTGAAAGTGATAGGAAGCTCCTGGCAGGACTCAGCCTCCCTGAAACCTGAGGCAGCAGCATGACTGCCATCCATTCACTATATGTGAGGATTGTTTCCCCATCATACTTTAGAAAGAGTGTACCCATCAAACATACGTACCCAGTGGCATGCAGAACATCTCAGGCACCCTGCCAGGCCTCCAGCACTGCCACAGAGTGTGCAGCTCTCCATGACTCTCTTCTATGTCCTGGTCAAGAAAGGTATATCAGGTATCCCAGGGCATTTTGAAGGAGTCCAGAAATGGACTGTGGTTCAGTGGTTCAGTGCTGGAATCACATTTTAAAAGTTTACATGCCTCAGCATTGTTCAATATCTGGAATCCCTGTTGAATTGGGTCTCCAGTTAGTCTTTGATGCCAGAGCATGGTGGAGAAAGCTGGACTGTGCTGTCTGAGGAACTCAAGGGGAGTGTCAACAAACACCAGTCTATCATTGTCAGCAAAATGCAATGAGTCTTGCACTGTATCATTTTCCCAGAAGCTAAGTTTGATACTTTTATTTCTTTCTAATATGGTGTCTCCCCATTTAATTTGATGCTGGCCAAAACTTTCAAATGGCCATTGTCTTAGACTGAAACAGCCTGACACCTTCCTGAGTTGATTGGCAGCATTTCTCTGCCAAGCCTTAGAATGGTGCACAACAGAGGGGGCAGACCTGAGACTCTTCATGTAAATGTGATCATGGTGTTTTTAAAGTATCAGCCTCTAAGCTCAGCAGAAGAATTGAGTCCCTCTGTGCTCTCCAACTCACTGATTTCACTGGGGTTTGGGTCAGGCACTAATACTGCACCTCCTGCTTACTCTTCGTGCCCATTATCAGGCAGGGTGACCTGGCTGCTGTGCATCTATTTTATACATGGTTCCTGTATTTATTGTATAGTTCCTTGCCTTCCTTTTATCGTACCGAGTATTTGTGGAAGCAACACATGTTCTGGGAAGAATCAAATCTTAAATTACTATTTCCTTGGGGAAGAAAAACAATCTGGAAAGACATTAAATGACTAAGAAAGAAACACTAAAAAAAAAATATTGATTGTGTCAGCCTCAGTCTCTTGACTCACCAACATGTTTCTCTAGGGTTTGTGCTTGTAGAAATATGTTGAGTTTGACAGAGGTACTCTGTAAAATAAGAGTAATGCAGTGATGAATCAGGCCCTTGAGTTACCAGTTATTCAGGCTAAACCTCACTATTCAGGATCTAACATTTTATGTATGTCTTGGTAAATGGAAAATTTGCTATCATGATGATCAAGGAGTAGTCTTTCTCTATTATTTTGCTATGCTAGTGTTGTCCCAAAGACACAGATAAAATAGAGTACATAGAACACATACCATAAAGTTTGCCTGGTATAAATAAAAAGGTCATGGCTCTTTTCCCTGTTGCTTGTCTGTATGTTTTGTATTTCCTTTCTCAATATTTTGTTGTTCCTTGTTTTCAGTAGTGGTATTTTTGCTAGTGGTAGTAAAGAGTAATTTAGGAAGCTATTGAAAGTATTTCAGAGCATCTAGCTGAAAAAGGAAAGTATCCTGAAAAGACTCATGGAACCAGACAAAATGTCATTTATTCACACATTTTGTGTAAAATAAGCTAAGTGCCAATGAAATACAGTGGAGATTTTAATTTGAAAATGCAGGAATATTTATGATCCAGAAAAGAGAAAATGCCTTCATTTCAGAGTGACAAAAGGAACTGTTTCAGATTGAATCTTCCTGTCTTATCCAGTGACCTTTAGCTTCCTCTTTACTGAGATGCCTAAGGTAATAAAAATGCCAAAGAAACCTGAGGGTAATTCCTATGCTTCTGGAACTTAGTTTGTTGAGATGCATTCCCTTAAGCTCATTGGTTACTTCTAGGAAAGATGTCATCTCAGCTACCTATTTGTGCAGAGCATTTACAGTGGTTTATGAAGAGATACCCTGTCCAGCCTACTAGACAATGGGAATCCTCTTTGAGACACATAGCAGTCCTTACACATGGTATAGGGCTGATACCTACCTCCAATTTCCTATTGAGTAGCTATTGCCTTTGACTCTGATTTGCATATAGCATAAAGGAAATTACATTTTGTGCAGAAGTAGAGAAGTTTGTGTCTGATTTCTCTGGGAAAGAGAATTTTTCTTCCATTAACCAAGAAAAAATTTGCACACTACAAACATTACATAGATGCAGTAAGCCCTCTTAAGTACATACAACTTACATATAATTTCTTTAGGCATAGTTGTCTTTCATCCTGCTGAGTAAATAAGGTTACAGTCTTAAAGATCTTTTTCAACCTTAATGGTTCTGTGATTCCATGAACCTGAAGTGAACCTGAATAAACTAGTGCTTTATCAAAGCCCACAATCAGGGTGCTTGATATTCACTCATAAAAGAAGCCTTAGGATCACACCTTGTGTAATTGACACTGCCCGTCTTTTTTAACCTCTTTCACCTCCTGTTTCTGAATGCCTTGTGACAATAGTTTCCATTCCTGGCTGGTACTGAGCTACCTTCCTCCTCGCTCTGCTGTGCCTTGGACAGAGATTTCCCAGGAGCAGATTGGAAGACATGATTTCACCATGACACAGAAATCCCAGCTTGAAATTCCTTCCTCATTTATTCCAGATGGTCATTCTGCAACACAGGGTGTGCTGCTCTGCCTTCTCCATCTTTTCTGTTTTGTTCTGGTGGCAAGAGGAAATAAGACTCTATCTCCTTCCTTCATCTTCCAAATCCTACTTTCCTACTGCAGTCTCTGAGGCTGGCAGCATCCTTCACCATCCCAGAGCTGGTGCTGTGCCACACCTCTCTGGGGAGCAGATTAAAGGCATGTGTGAAGCAGGGAGATGAATCTGCAGACCACATCAACTCATAACCACATACCTACAACCTTAAACCAGCTGGGCACCTCCCAAGTTAAAGGTTGTCAGTCAGCTGAGAAGGGAGCAGTTTGGGTGTCTATTAAACAGGGCTTTTAAAAGTCTGGGGAGAGTGAGCAATGTCAAGCCTTACACCCAAACCTTACCCTGAAGTTTTGCTGCTTCCACCATGAAAGCTTATGTTCCATTCACAATAAGTAAAACAAATTTTGCATCAAATTTGGAAATATTTTTCACATATTTCATTAATAAGTACCAGGAAAAAGGAAAACTGAGTATTTCACACAGTGCTGACCTGGTGTACCTTCTTTCTCTATGTATGTTATTTGAACCCATCCTCTGTTGTATTGTAAGCTGATGATGATTACATCTAAAACGTTATCTTTTAAACACAGCATGAAACTAATTACTGTCACCCCTATCTCTAGGCACCTTGGCTGCAGCCCTGATTATTCTTAGCTCTAGATCAAGAAAACCCACTGACCCCTTATTTTATAAACTCTTCATTTATAGATTTTCTTTGCACCATCTGTACTTCAGACACCTTTTTTAGACAAGAAAATACAGTCAAGGACAGTTCTTTGACCTAGCCTCCATTTCCAACTTTCCCAAAATTCTTTATAACCAAAACTGCATAGAAATTTTTTCCTCAAAGTAGCTATATCAGAAACAATGCCAGTGACTTAAAAAAATTACCTGAGAATGATTACCTGATGTCAGTAAAGAAATGGTCTTTTGTCTCTTTTTGGGAGATTCATTTTTGCTGCCAGATTAAGACTACAGCCTTCCTTTTTGGGAACTTTAAGTTATTATTTACTTGGTGTCCTAAACCCTTTAAATCCTATATAGTTAAATCTGAGATATTAAAATCTTTTGATGAATATGAGAAGTACTAGATAGTCGTTCAAAAGGTAAATGCTGCAACTTGTTTGAAAGGAGTAGAGCCAAGATGGTCTCAGGGATGGCACAGCTGGCAGTTCAGCTACAGCAACAACCAGAGAGCTACTAGTTCTCTATGCCCTAGTAAGAAAGAAAAGAAAAGGAAAAAAGAAAAGCACAATAGCAACAATAACAACAACAATAAAACCCCCACAACAACAAACCCCCACACACAAAAAAAAACCACAAAAAGCACCAACCAGAAAAAAAAAAACAAACAAACCAATAAAACACCTCCAAAAAGAACTAAAAAAGGGGAAAAATAAATGTGTAACTGGTGTAGATTTGTCCAGGGAAAATTGTGTTTAACTCATTTAATTTCCTGCTGAAACAGAGTTTCAGGCTTTGCAGATAAAAGCAAGGCATTGTTGACTTATATCTCATCTTAGAAAGGCTTTTGCCATACCTTGTGCAGATTCTCATAAGGAAATTGGAGAGAAATCATATTGGGAGAGTGAAAAATAAGATTGGGAAAACCTTCCATTGAGCCAGACATGAACGAACAAACCAAAGAAGGTAGGGAAAGTTTGTCAACAAGCAAAATGTTTGGGGCTCCCTCCTCGTCCTTTCCTTTTCTCTTTTTGTTTTATTTTTCTTTCTGTTTCCTCCATCCCATCTTGCAGGAGGTGATGGCAGCTTCAGTTCTCTCCCAGCTCAGTGGCAGTGTACCAGCCCAGAGGTGCTGAAGATAACTATTACTTTCAAGAGCTGAAGGACGTGAGAGAGATTTGAGTGCAAGTTATGGCTACATCTGACAGGTGTTGTCACCCTGAGGGGATTAGCAAAAGACATTTCATTTTCACTTACCAACATCAGCCTTACCCTACAGGGAAACATGTGAGCCCACCTCAAAACCCACTGTTTAATTGCTTTGAGTTATCCATGCAGTGTTGCCTTTCACCCTCAGTCTCTGAAGGTATTCCTGCCTCACAGATACATTCTGGGTCTCAAATGTTATGTACAGCAGCAAAGTAGAATGCCAGGGTGACCTGTTCTCTGGACAGAAGGGGCCATGGGACTCTCTGGCTTCTTTTTTCCCCACTGCAGCTACCCCCACTGCTCTTGGCTGTGTTCAAAACACCCAGGCAGAGACACCTACCCAGTGCATGGACAAGCTGGGAGGAGCACAGCACTGCCACCCCTCTGTACCTCATGGGCCACCCAAGAACCCCTTGCCACCTCCCCTCCACCACAGCCTGGGAGCACAGGATCTGAGGGCATGTGCTGCTCTTTTTCACGTCAGGATGGAGGGGATGTTCGGCCCATCTGAAAATATTTTCTTTTTACAAATGTTCTGCTCTGGAAATAGATTTTTCCTCCTTAGAGACAGCCACCAGAACCATAGCAGAGCAGGAACAACTGGTGGAAAAGTCAAACAGCCACCATGTGTTTCCAGCAACGCCCTGCTGTGATTTCTTTCTGCAGGACCCTAGGAAGCTGCAGTACCACCCTGACTCGAGCTGCATTCATGTTACTCCATAGGATACTGTTTGCACTTTTTCTGACAAAATATTTAGTATTCCCATTCTCCCAAGCCTCCTCACAGGAAACTTGGCATAAATTTGCTTCTTATTCTCTGGAGAAGGCATGAGCCACATAACTAAAATGCACTTCATACTATAAAAAATAACAACAGAACCCCAAACCAAAACAAAAAAAAATAACACAAAACTTGCCAAGGCATATTTAAATCTGGCTTTATTTTTCATATTTGCTATTTTCTAGAAAGGAAATAACACTTTTAATGCTCTGGTTGCAGATTGTTCTGGAGTGTGTGAGTCCAGGAGATGCTCAGGGAACAGACTTCGTTGCATGAACATGTCATGTGCAAGAACCCTCTAGAATAAGTGAGACCAAGGACCCTCTACAGTAAGTGGCCAGGTCACAGGTTTGATTCATTGATTTGTTACAGGTCAAAGAGAAGCTAATTGTGTGACACTGTGCAGGATGTATCATCATTACCATTATTCATGTTTAGTGTGCCAGTGTCTAAAGACCAGCCATGGATGAAACCTTGTACAAGATTATCTGACAGCCCTGGAATCATGGAAGTTACGGTTCAGTAGCTAGAGAAAGGATTGGGAAAAACATCTAACACACAACACATTCATGCCTAGTGATCTCAGAGTGTTTTGTTTTATTTCTGTCTTTCTGTGTGTACGTTAAATAAGCATGGGTGGGATAAATGGAAAAGTGAATGCAGAATAGATGAGACAAGAACAAAAAGGACAAAATACGCATTTTAAAGAAGTGACTTTCTCTTTAGCCTTGAGACCCTGTGTTTTCACCAAGCCTAGAATCCAGTCTATATGTTTCCACACATTCTCCAGTCACAGCCCAATCCACCTGGGCAGGGCTTGAGGAATTTGCTGCATGAGAGATATAGGTTGTCAGTTTGCAGGTTTATAAATTGTTCTGCCTGTTTAGATCTTGCATCCAGACATGGGAACACAGCTCCCAGTTTGATTTCTATTACTGGCAAGTATCCATCCTCCAGTCCCATCTGTTATGCTTATCCTGCTTGACACACTCAGCAGACTCAGTCCTGAGGGCAGGCTGACAAGGGGCTGGTGCACACTGGCACTTCCTACCAGTGACTGAAATGTATGTACCAGCATTTTCTAGGGATGGGAAATACAAGAGTACCCAAATGTCAGGAAGAGGTTTGACGTCAATACTTTTAAAAGTCAACACACCACAGACAAGATAGCAATACCATTTGGACCTTTTTTTTTTTTTTTTTTTTTGTAATTCTACTCTTAATCCTGCCTCCAAAACAGGTCTCCACTCATCATGTTTAGGAGCTGTTGGGGTATTTCCAAATTCTCTTTTCTGCCATCTGGGAATGTTCAGTGAGTTTCCTCCTTTCTACTCTTTGGGTGCAAATGGCATGAAAGAAATACACAGGGGTATTAATCAACTTTTAGTTTCATCAGGTTTCAGCTTCCACCTTCTTGGACAATTCAGTTTCTCATGAATTTCACCTTTTTGCATCAGCTATCAGTACCATTTATATGTTCATGTTGAAGATTAATTTCTGCTCCTCAGATTGTTTGTGAAGAGGTCTCATGCTGTCTTTAACCATTGCACAAGCAACTATGTCTTTAAGTGCTGAAAGTGATCTGGAGAAGTCACCCCAGCTGGTGAAAGCACTTCTACTGAGACCTGAGAAATGAGACATTTAACTCTTGCAGTGGTATAAGGGCAATATTAGAAAGCCTGAAAAAACGACTGGTATTAGACCAACAAGCAGAAAAATTACATCTTTCTTCAACGGAGTTCTGAACAAAATACTGAAAACATAGTGTGAAAGGAACTGAATGGATGAGGCAATATCAAAATATAATATCCAGTTATATAACACTAACTGAATAAATGTATTGTTAGTGATAGTAACATTTTTATGTACTAAATGTGTGGATATTTATCCAATTAAAACAATGTAAAGTAGGTGTGTGATAGAAGATCGTGACGAAGGAGAACACATTATGCAATGTAAAAAAGATGAAACATATATATTTACACACACATGTAAAGGAAAGGCTTCTTTGAACATTTGTTGCTGGCCAGTCAGCCCCCCTGTTGTGCTGCTTGATCACTGGCACAAAGTACACCTGGAGGCTTTCCCCATTGCGTGCTGGTGTGGAGACCTACCCAATGAACATGATGTACAGCTGTACTGTGCACTTTTTGGTGGCAAAGTCCTAGGTTAAGATTAGGGTCTGAAATATCTAATTGTGACAAAGGATGGAACATTTCCAGCACAGAGTGCTGACCAAGGGGAACCCAGTACTGCCAACATGCTCCCAACCCTCACACTCTGGAAAAGGCTGCCCAGAGCCCAAAAGTTGTCAGACCTGTGAGCCAAAGCCTTTCAAGAACTCCCAGCTTTTGTTTCCACCCTTGTTACTGTGTGCATGGTCAGCTCCATGGATCTGCTGTATTGTTCATCCTCACAAGGAGGCTGTGACCTTCTTTCATTTAAAGCAAAACACTGAACCAGCAGAGCAGAGCAGCAGACCTGCATGCAGAGTTTTGTTAGGCTGCATCTAAATGACAGCATATAGCTATGTAGCAGGTTTTGCCTCCCATAGTTACTGTAATGTATTTTCTTTTAAAATACTGAGCTATTATAAAGACAGCAGTCTAGGTAAAGTAATGTATAAAAATCAAGCAGTTTTCCTAGTAGGATTATGTATCTGATAGCATCTCTGAACAGCACTATTGCTGGTTGGGGGCTATGTACAAATCACAAACGGGATGGGATTGTTGTGGAATGTGTCTCGAGCTGTTTATTTTTTAGCATTAGTCTCATTACATGGTTATGACAATGGGAAGATGCTACCAGTTCACATCTTAGGTAGCAGACTAAGAACTTAATGTTAAAACTTACTTCAAAAGTTTTTTGATTACTCACACAAAGCAAAAGCATATTGACAGTAGTTTTATCTAACTACTGAAAGTACATGTACTTTTGGTTAAAATAATGCTTGCTTATTTTGAATACAATACTTGTTTGTAAACTTTAAGATACAATGCATAGAGCTCTATTATTAAGTTTAGAACTCCTTAATATCTCACTAGATATACTTTTCTGTAACTTAGGGAGTTATTCTACTTAAGCATTAATACACAGACTATTGTTCTATTTGTCTTTTTTTTTCTACTTCTTGTATAATTTTTCTGCTGACAAATCTTACAGATTAGCTCTAAATCACCATCTTGCAGTCTCTGAGGCCTGCCTTTTGCAACGTACCTAAAACCCTCTAATTTTAAAGAATCCCACACAGCACAGTTCCCCTATGGGGGTGACTAGCAGGGCACTATCCCTGGGTTCCACAAAAAATTTGCACCCCTCATTGTATTAATCAGTTTTCTGCAGGTCACGGCTTCTTCCACACCTTCTCATTTGTCGCACAGGAAGACATATGGCACTTGCTCATTACTGCTTTCTGTCTTCCAAATTCATGCATGGATCCCATTGCCACACCACTTGCAAGCTGTTGTTTATTAAAGCAGTGGGACACAGGTGTTTCTTCTGTCTTTGTGCCAGCATAGGCAAGGGAACCATGAGGAGATGGAGCCCATCTCATGCTCCACTACATTTTTGCTCATGAGTTCTTTGGGTTTTGTGTGCCCTCCATGGACATTTGCAAACAAGCCTGCTGATTAGAGGAAAAAATCCCCCTTCTTCTAAATGAGTTCTGCCAGATAATCAGAGCAGGTCAGAGGAGCAATAAAAACATCCTGTGGTTCTGCATTTCTGTACAGAGTGGCTGGTGGACAATCACAGAGGAAGTAGCCAATGACTCCAAGTCTTCTGAAGGTATTGTGCCTCCAGAAAAATCTATCAAATGAGTACTAAATGAAGAAGAACAAGATATCCACAGAAACACCAGGCAGAAACACCATGTGACTCTGTCACCTCCACCCTCTGCAGGTCATGGGATTCAGTAAATTTTCAAGGTTAGAGCTCTTCCTTTCTTTGCCAGGGGGGAATCTCCTGCCAAGGGAAACATGTGACTGTGGTTCAGGATGACTTCTGTGGGATTTAATGTGCTTTATCTTTCTCATGAGCTCCGTAAAGCCCAAATCAGTGATTGTCTTGAGAAAACCATCAGAATTTGCAGTACTGCATCAAAAATGCCAATTAAACAGTGTAGTGGGAAGGAAGAGAGAACATGATGGAGAAAAGGAATATTGAGAAGGATGCAAGATGAAATGGATTACCATGCTGAAGGACTCCAGCAGTTCCAGCCAAAATGTTACATTTTACCCACTCTCAACAGGATATGCTACAGGGGAGGAAATCCAGCTCTAATGGCTGATAGATATTTTCTATGGTTTCAAAAGGTATTTTGCCTCTGTTGGTCTGGATTTTATACAACAGCCTGTCTAATGAAGTGGCTCTGCAGTCCTTTCCAACAGTTTTGAAGTACAGCATGTGTTGATTATCTCAGTTGAATGGATCTGAGTTCATTTATAAGTTGCTTTGTTTTGCCTTTTTTTTTTTCACTCCTTTGTTCCTCCCTTCTCTGTCTAAAGCACACAAATTGTTTGTAGAGGGAAAAACATATAAACAGTGTGATTCAGTACAATAAAGAACAGCTTGTTAAAAATGTGCTTTTGGTGTATGTGGAACTCAAGCCTTTCCTCTTTCTATCACACTGCAGTACAGAATGCATTAGCTGAGGTTGCCCTGGGAGTTCCATTTTTAAACCCTCTTTTTTTCTTGTTCCCGTCAAAGCCTGAAAATTCTTCTTTTCAGTTGAAATTATGTGTGTTTTCCTTTAAGCCAAATACAATGTTTAACAAAAGTATGAATCAAACTCACATGCATTTTAGTTTTAAGGAACTTATAAAAATTATTAGAAACAAATCTTTCTGAAATCATTACCCATGGCACAGGAAATCTCTATTATTTTTTCATGTCTTCTTTTTATCCAGTTCAAAAGAAGACAATGAGAGCTTTTCTATCTTTCCACTGAAACACAATCAAATCCCATCCCTTCAGCTGAAAAATTCCATATGACTCACTCTTACAAGCTAGGTCAACCTGTAGTTGCCATTAAAGTGGACTTTAACTCATGAAGAATTGAAGTGACTGAACATCTGTTTAGTACACACAGAGTCATAAGCATTCACTGGGTGTCAACCTATATATCTGGAGATGCACACTGGCATAAATACATCCAATGAATGTTAATTATGAGGCAGGGTTTCATTCTGGAGATCTATCAGTGCATAAGCTTCCTTAAAAGAGTACAAGTCTCTTAGCATCGAGACTGATGTGTTTGAGCCTGCTCCTATGGCTCCACTTGCCCAGGCAAGCTACAGAGGCAAGAACACTTTGAATAAAAAATTCAAAGCTAACATGCTTTGAATAACAAATACATATGGTATGCAGGTTGGGATGCAGTTCTGACTAGGATTCACCCAGCCACTGGGAATGGTTTGCATGAAGGGGAGAGGCACAGCACTGAGGCCAAGGGCAGATCTTGGAGCTAGGGAGGAGGACATGGCTCTGGAGCCCCCACCAGCCCTTGTGTCTCCTATCCCCCTGTGCCCCAGGTATTCTTGCTTCCCACAGCAGGATTTGCCTTGAGTCACATGGACAGGGTGTGGAGAGCGAGGGTGGATGGACAGAGGTGGATGGGGTGGTGGGTGGAGTGCCTGTGGCCAGAGGCTGTGCTGTGATGGTGGCACCACCTGTGCATGTGGGTGTGGTGCTGCCTCCTCGCCATGCCCGTGCCCTCTCCCTGTGCAGGGGCTGCATCTGTCACACAGGCAGGGCTGGGGACACGGGCCTCGGGGAGCTGCACTTCAGTGAAGACAGACATTTTGTCTGGACCCCTGGCAGGTAGAGCCAGCAGGGCTGGTGGCTGCAGCTGGAGAGAGTGGGGCTGCAGTCGGGATCTTGCCAGGCAGTCTGGCTGGGCTGGGAGAAGCGAGAGGGGAGCAAGGCTGCCTTCGTTGTGGAGTGGGGATCATAGGTTTTCTTTGAGGGGAAGAAGACAGGTTACATGTCAGATCAGGAGAAGGTGGCTAGCGGCTGGATACAGAGATCAGGGGAGGCCAGAGCAGGAGCAGATGCCAGGAGCAGAGGAAGGGCTGAATGCATTACAGAGAAGAAAGGAGAACGAGAACTAAAAATATTACGAACCACTGGTAAGGAGAAAGTATTTTAGGGCCTTCTGTTCTTTCTTTTTATAGTGAAAAGGAAAAGGGGACAGACTCTGGAAATAACAGCCCACATATTTTCTGACAAAGGAGCCCATTTCTGGCCACAGGCTAATGAAACATGTGGAGGTACTATTGCAGGAGCTCCCAAAAATCAGGGATACCACAGGATTTGAACATGGACTATATTTTGGCACAGCAGTCAAGGTCGTTAATGGAAAACTTCTGGCCTGGAAAGGAGCAGACTTTTCAGAGATTTCAGAGAAAATCTTACTCTCATGAGATTTTCATCTAAATTTGGATATGTAAGAGGCTGAGGTGGTTTATAGGTAGATCTTGAAAGAACATCTGATGTTTGGATGCTTATGTATATAAAGTATCATCCAGCTGGGTCCTCACTCTTCTCCGGCAGAATCACTGGGATGAGGAACAGCTTTCACTGCTGCGTAGACTCGAGGAAAGCAAATGTGATCAGATTCATCAAGCTGTTCCCTTAGCATGGCATGAACTTTAGCTCTAGCGTTTCTGGGAAGAGAATTGATCAGCCAAGTCTCTTGAAGATAGAAACCCTTAGGTAATTAGGAAGATGGCATTATTCAGAAGCCTTTGCTTTTAGTAGCCTTTGCTGAACAGTTGGGTCTGGGTAATTATAATCCTTGGGGGATAGGTTTCAGTGACTGACAGTCTCCAATGGTGCTTTGGCCTTCATGCTTCCAGCTGCACAGAGAAGTGAAACTGCACACAGAAGCAGTTTTTGTTTGAATTTGCAGCAGCAGGCATTTGTGTGTGTGTGTGTGTGTGTGTGTGTGTGTGCGTGTGTGCACGTGTATGCCTGTGGGTTTATTTAGGTTTATCAGTTTTAAATATAAGACATAGGTTGTGTGTACAACATTTCCCTTATGTCAGCACCAATGCCATTTTTGGAGTCTCTGAGTAATTAATGTACCGTGATTTTTAACTCCTTTCTTACTGATAAGCTGCTCTGAAATCTCACCAAGTCAAGTGAAAAATCCACTAACCTATATGCACCATTACTACAGAATACAAACCAAAGAACAGGCTTTTATTCACCTGTTTAATGGAAAGAAAAATATTTGCCTAAATTAATAGACATATGAAATTATGCAAGACTCCTGTATATGAGAAAATCTTTAACTATTTAGTAATTATGTCATTCTCAGCACATTATGTGTAGTTAGAAATAAGTACTAGTGGATGCTGCTGCTCTGCAGTATACCACAAAGAATTTTCATTTTTGGCAGAACCAGTCACACTGCTTGTTTTGACGAGTCCAAGGTATTTCTATATTTCTTGAATTTTCACCATTCTTTTTCTGTGAAAAACCTTTGAGTTTTCATATATTTTCTGTTGAGTTATTTGGTGTTCTTTTTCTTTTTTCAAAGTGAATTTGGAATTTCCTGGATTACAAATATCTTTCTGATATAAGATATTACCCGTTATGTGAATATCTAACCTGAACAGCGAATTAAGTGAGAGGATTTTTTGGATTAAAAGCTTTTCATTAGACTTTATTTTCTCATGTTAAACTAACATCTGTGAGATTTTTATTTAAGATTTTATAATATCCTAAACACTGCAGGGTAATTTCTTACCATGAAGAAGTTTTAGATGGACAGATTGAAATTAAATGTGAGATGCCTAAGGAGCCATTTTGAGATTCTATTTTAGGTTGAACTATCTGATTAAACAGTCATCAAAGTGAGAAACAAGGACTTGGACTCATAAAGCAAAAGCCAAAAATGCATCAGAAATTCAAAAATGCAGCAGTCTGTGGAGAGGTGGAAATTTGCTTCTGTAGGTGCCTTGCAGATCTTTGTTATATTTGGACTTGGCATAGGGGTGCATCAGGCAGACATAGCTCTGATCAAAGAAGCCCTCAGAAAAATCCAGCCACATGAGTAAATTGCATTACCTTAGCAAAGCAACTGGCTGGGAGGGCAGTAGGGCATTGTGTGAATGCACCCCAAAGATGCACCATGACAGCAGGGAGACAGGGTGAGGTGAGGTTTGACATTTTTAAGGGGATGGAAAATTTGATCTGAAGATGAGTAGGTAAGGTAAAATACTCCTTCCTCAGTGAGAGTAAAAGGCAGCAGCCACGCATCCAGCTTTTCACAGGGACCAGCATTTCACTCCATACACAGGGGATGTATTTACATTTCTCTCTCTGCATTATATGTGTACTTCATGAGTGCGGCCTTTCCTTCACTGCTCTGTGGAACACAAACTGCTCACACCCAAAAAAATGGTCATTTTGGGAGACTAAAAGCCATCAATACTGCCCAGCCATATACTTCATGGCTCCCTGCAGCACCTTCTGATCATGTAGCATAGGAATGATGTATTATCCCAGGGACTTGCATATGCTGAGAGCTCAGCTTCCCACAATACCATTTTCTCTGCATCCATTTATCCCTTAATTGGTGTGATGCCACATGAAAGCCCATTCTCTCCCACATTTTCTCTCCTCATTGAAGATGTTCCCAGTGTATTTATGTCCTTCTTACAAACACAGCATAGAAATGCTTTTTTGCATTTGTTCTGCTGGGATGGTATAATCATGAACAAGGGGCGCTGGGTTGAAGCCAGGGCAACAGAGGAGCAGGAATGGATGCTGTAGACTTTGGTCTCACAAATGTTCTCAGTAGCCTCTAGGCTCACAAACATGGCAACTATTTGAACCTGATGTTTTCTGACTTTCTAAGGCCATCAAACTCTAGGTTCATATTATGAGCTAAAGACATTTTGTATGCACACAAAAATTCTTCATGATGCTGTGTGTGGTAATGCATACTGTGGGGCTCAAGGGACATGACTGTGGTCATTAGAACCACCAGAAAAGACAAATCACATCAAGAAAGGGGCAAAACATGTTAACAGAAGGCACTGTGTGGGTAGAAACATAGAATCATTGATGTTGGAAAAGACCCATAAGATGAAGTCCAGTTGTTACTCAAACACTGTCAAGACACCTACTAAATCATGTCCCTAAGCACCACATCTACACATTTTTTAAATACCTCCAGGAATGGTGACTCCATCACTTTCCTAGGCATTGTATTCCAATGTTTGACAATCTTTAAGTGAAGAAAGTGTTCCTAATATCCAACTTAAATATCATCTGGCACAGCCTCAGCTATTTACTCACTTGTTACTTTGGAGAAGACATTGACCTTCACCTTGCTTCTCTGCACTTGCCCAGCACCTCATTGTCTGTCTTGTAGTGAGGGACACAAAGCCGAATGCAGGATTTCAGATGTTACCTCACCAGTGCCAGGAGAATGCTCACTCTCCTGGTCCTGCTGGCCTCACAATTGCTTACACAAGTCAGGATGCCATTAGCAGAAAAGATCAGATCCACCTCCATGGCAGCACTCTGTAAGTCAGGAGAAAAGGGGAATTATTTCTTCAGCTGCCAGG